ATATATATATATATGTATATATATATCAGATAAAACAAAAAAGAAAAATCATAACATTGATTAATTAGATTTTTGTATTATTGTAAATTTAAATGTTATGTTAATAGAACATTAGATTTATGTGTTACTAAACGCATTCGAATTGTTTGTCTAACTTGTTCACGTTGAGATTTTGTTCGAAATAAATTCATAAATTTCATAAAACAACATAATTGATAATAATAATAAAATAATTTACGTATTTCATTTCGAAAAGATTTTCCACTTAAACAATAAACATAAAAATTTAATGAACAATTAGCTAATATAACAACACTTATCCAATGTGATAATAACATATTTGATGTTGACCAATGTACAATTGTTGCTGTTAATGATGAAAAAAAGAAAAGACATGAATGAATTATTAATACAATATTCATCCATGATGTACGTGGACGATTATGAACTATTAAACCATCAACTCCTTCTTTACTACGAAATGAACCAGTTGTATTTTGACGAATATTTGTTGTTGAACTATGTGATGAAAATGATAATGTTGATTCTATTACACAAATTATTATTCCAATATTAAACATAATAACTAATATTGATGGAATTATTTCAGAAAATATTGAACGAAATGTTGTATAATTTAAACCAAATTGAACTTCTTCTAAAAAACTACGCCATAATGGAGATATAGAATCTTGTAATGAACATATCGTTAGATAAGAATTATTTGGTAATTGATTAGTTATCAAATCGTCACTTTTACGAGTATGTCGAGATAATATTGTTACATTTGGTAATCTATATAGATATATATTAATAAGAAAAATATTTATTATTTTTTTATAAAAGTCTACAACTTTAACAATCGTTCTTCCCAAAGAAAATATTACTATTTTTGTAATAACTCAGGAATGACTAATATTTGATTATTTATAATAAATCTCTTTCAAAAGAAATGTTAATGAGTACGAAAATTTTTTAGAAAAATGTATGATATGTTATAGTTTATACGTATAATTGTAATTATATCCTATATTAGAATCTTATATATCGCTTAACTATCGCTCGATAAGATTTAATAGGAATTATCAAATGGTATTTTCTATGATCATATTTCATGATAACATTAAAACATCTTTTTTTCCTCATTCTTATGAATCTTATTTTCTATAATAAACAAAATATTGATGGGGAAATAAAACGTACGTGAAAGTTGTTATTGATGTTGTATTTTCATAAGATATTGTTGGTGGAATAATTAATAACATTGATTTTAATTGATAAAAATAAATCGTTGGTCCAGTAAGAGCAGTTATAATAATTAAAGATAAAAAAAACATAAAATAGAATTTATATTTTTTAACATATTGATTATTTGTAAAAAAATGAAAATTTGTTGTTACATAAGTAAATCTTTCATATGTCCATGCAACAGTTACAAATGCTGATAATATTCTTAAACAAGATGAAATTCGATATAATTTACAATTAAACCATGATTGTCCTGCTTTATGTTGAATCCAACGACGAGTTGATGAATGAAGAAGAAGTGAATAACGAAATACACATAAAAGATTTATTATTAATGATGCTATTGCTAATTTACCATATGTTGTACGACGAAATTTTCGTGATGAAAATACAATTAAACCAAGACTATTTCCAAGAGTACCAAGTATAATCATTATTATACAAATCCAATCAACAATATCATGTGTTGTTATTGAACCCGACATATCATTCTATCTAAAAACAATAATTCTCTTTCTTTTTCTTATTCTTCAACTTTTATATTAATTTTAATGTTAAATGAAAATATTCCTATGCTTTTTTCTATTCGATCTCTGGATTTGCTTATATCCAAAAGTCAACTATGACTACAAGAAAATCTTCTCTGCGTGATTGTCATCCAAGAATATTTTATCTTATATTATAAAGATAAATCTTTCCTAATCTTTAGTGTCTCACAATATAAATAACATCAAAAAAAAAGAAGAAGAAGAAGAAGAAGAACTCTACAGAATAACAACGACTAAAATTAAAATCTAAGTGAAATAATGTACTAAAAGAAAAAAGTTCATATTTAAGTGGAATTTTCTCCGTTTTTATTTTTCTATTCTTAACATCTTTTATTTTTCTTGATCAAAACAATTAATTATTCTGAATATACAACAAATAATATCCAACTCAAGATAAGTGCCACTATTTTTATGAAGAATCTATGCAAGTTAATTGCTCATTTCTCAACAGAGTGGATGCATATAATAAATTGAAGAAAATTCTTTTCTTTCTATTCTATTCAGATAGAAACTCAAAGAGAGAAAAAAACGGGCACCATATATCTTTCTTTCTTGTCTTCTTAATGACTTTCTTTCTTTCTTTTTTTCTTTCTCATGTATGTTTCAATGATTTCTTATATTAAATAGAATGAATCAGTCAAATGTTAATGATAAACATTTCAATAAAAGTAAATCTATTAATTCACAATTTTTTATAGAAATAATTTGACTAAAAACTAAAAAGAATATATATGATTGAATTTAATTCGTTTCACTATTGATAAGATTAAGAAATTCTTGAAAAAATAAAGTATTTTTCAGTTTTAATAATTTTATCTAATCGTTTTCTTTACAAATATTTAACTTTTCTGTGATTTATGAGCGACCCGTTCTACATACATTTCCTAATAGATTGATCCTTTTAATAAATGTCAAAACAATATAAATTATCTGTCATAGTAGGAAATACTTTATTTTTCTATTCTATTTATAACTAATGTTGTCTTTTCTACAAATTTTCAAGTATTTGTTCCGTACAAAGATATTTTAAAAGGGTCACACCTTTTATAACACTCTTTCTCTCTCTATATATATATATTGTCAATTATTGACATTAGATTTCTGAAATAGTTGCTTATTACATTTGATCCTAATCTATTTCCATTTAATAAAATAGAATTAAAGATTATTGGAACGTTTTTGTTAATGGAATCAGTTAATAAATGAAGAGAAAATCTCCATAAAATTTTTTTTTATGAGAAAGATTTTCTAAACATTGAATTAATGAATACATGACATGAATATTCTCTCTCTCTCAGAATTTAACTTAATGAAAAGAAAATATTATTATCTTCATTAGAAGTTTAACACACATTATTATTCTTTTTGTATCTAAAGTTAACTTTGAAATTTAAATCATGATAATGTCTAAAACAAACTATTCTATACAATAAATATAGATCTAAAATGTCTTAAATTATTTTTATTTTCAATTTAGTAAAAAGCTTTTCAATTACTTTTAAGAAGTTTCTCTATTATTTATGTTTATTCAACAAATATTTCTTATTTTTTTAATATAATCAATTGAAGTGAATAATAAATATTTACTTACCAATAAATGTATAGATAAATAATTATGTTTATATTCTAGATTATATTTCTTGCAAGTATTTATCTATGTCTATTATTTCTTTATTTCTATTATATAAACGAGAAAATAAATGAAATATGTTGATTAAATTCATCTATGATTTTCTAAGTATTTCAAATCTAAAAATAAAAATATTTCTTAATAAACAATAGAAAATCTAATTGACTCTGACATGAAATATAATATTGTAACTGAATATATAAAGAGAGTTACATTTCAATTACTTGACAAATAAAACATCATTAACAAAAAAAAATAAATCTTTCGTATTATTATAATCAACTAAGAAGAATTTCAGGTACATCTAACATAGAATTATTTTTATCTATTCTATTCTTTTTTTAGCATATATATTTATTACAAAAGAGATTTTCTTTTTTTCTATAATAATTATAATCAATCTATATTTATTTTTAGAATTTTCTCACCTAAGAAATATTTTTCTGCTAATTAATATGACATTTGTTCAAAAAAAAATTCTTAATATAAAATCTTATCATAGAAATGAACAAGAGCGTAATGCCCCTCCCTGCTTTGGAAAAATTTTAAAAATCAAAAAAAAGTTTGTCGTACTAAATTTAAAGAAAAATTCACGCTGCGCCTGCTCCCTGCCCTCGACATCTAGGTACGCCCCTGGAAGTGAATAAAATATTCTCTAAACTATATCGACTGATTAAAGTATACATAATGTTCCTTAGATACTGCAGAGTACTCAAATTGGTATACATATGTCATGTTTAGTGCCAAAGGCTTAAAAAGCTTTTAACAACAGATTAAATATGATAGAAATAGAAGAGATGTTAAATAACTGAAACCTTAATTTTTCTTCTTAAAACGATGAAGAGACGAAAAGAATCTGACATACTTTTAATCATGATATTTTGTTTGACAACTGATTCTTTCTAATATTATATTAAATAGATTCATTGAAGTTTTGATTCGAATACCTTGAATATATGATAATATTACATTAGCTTCTTTCTTTTACTTCTCAAGTAACGTTAGAAATGAAAGAAGTTTTTTCTAAAGTGATGTTCTAAAGAGCATTAGTAAAGAACATACATATATATATATATATATATAGAATAATTGAGATAGACATATTTGACAGTCAGGATCGTAGTCATAATTTATGTAGCTTTTAACATTTTTTATTTTCTGATCTTAATTAACTTTTGTCAGACTATATCAATCATATCAACTATAGAGATTAGAAATGACAATGAGAAAATTAATAAAGACAAGAAAAGTATATCTTTTCATTTACAAGAGATTTTTCTTCTCTTTCTTTATAATCAAAATCTAACTAATGTTACAGAGTGTTACTAATAGTTCTTTCTAATATTTCTCGATTAGGTTTTACTCTATCATTGAAGAAAAATAAAAGATACTTAACACATAAAATACTTGTATATACTCAAGATGGATTGTAGAAATAATTCATAATAATAATAGATGAAGAATGTTCTTTTCTTCTCTTCTCTTCTATATTAAAGTGCTTGTCATTAACAGACTACGAGTAACTCTTTAACGGAAATCACGCTTTTTTTATTAATATAATTTACCATCGATTTAGAAAAAACATTTTTACATATTTAGTTCTTTTGCTTTACAAATAAAAATACACTTAAGATATATTTATATCAAGATAAGAAAACAACGGAACCGTTCTAGACTAGAGAAAAAAAATAGTTAGAATAAAAATTTCCATCAAATTTCTCATCATAAAAAATAGACATACAAGAAAAATAATAATCATTATCATTATAGAAAAGAAACTTTTTCTCGATTTTTCTATTATACATGCAATGATTATCATAAAAAAACATTTATTTCAAAGAAAATCTCGACATATGATCATCAATACTTTTAACCAATCTTAAAATCTTATCTTAAAATAATCAGATGTAACATTTGATTATTATCAACGATTAAATAAATACACCTCGATATATAACAATAGAATATTATTGTCATTTTAGATATAAAAGAATGTTTTTTTTGTTAAAAGGTTATTTTTAAGAATAAAAAAAAAGAAAATCATGATTTACTTTTATTAGAATAAAAAAAGGTTGAAATGGAATAGTAAATGTGAAATGACAGAATAAAAATATATTTGAACGGAAAAGAAAAAAAAGTGTGAAAACATACAAGAAATTTTCTTGTAAATGTACTGAGTATGATTAAATTAGCTACATATGACGTTGAATATACGTCATTACTACTAATAGCTTTATTTCATTGAGATTTTCTTCTTTTTCTATGATTTTAGAAATTAATAACTAGTAGATTCACTGAAAGCTTTTTAATGTTCCGTTCTATTCAATTTATTATTCATAGAATTACTTCATTAAGTCTCTTCTATTCAATAGACGATCGATTATCTTGGGATTTCATGATTTTTTTTTATCTTAAGCATCTGATTCTTTTCTAAAGAATATAATTAAATAAATAATGTAAACAAATTGTTAATTGATTGTTTTTAGAGAAAATTTTATTAATAATAATTCTTTGTTTTAGATTAGAGATTGAATTTATTTTCTCTATCAATTATATTTAATATTGACAATCTTATCGATTAAAACCAATTTAACAAAAGAATTTTCTAATTATTTTTTTCAATAGAATTGTTGAAAATAAAAATTATTTTCTAGATCAATATTCATAAATAATCAAGTATCAGAGATATTTATTATTCAAACATATTTCAAATGAATGGACTCGTAAAAATATGTCAAAATATGACTAGACGTTTGTCATCGAGATAAAAAAATAATTAAATTCATGTCAAAAGTTTCATTCAATCATTATGATATTAAACTAAGATGTCATTCAAACTATTTACTCATCTTATTGTTCCACTCATGAGAGTCCTTTTGAACCCAGTCATCATCAAATTTCCTTATAATGTAGATATTTTATTCTCTCGTACTTTTCAAAATCATTCAGAATTAAATGAAACATTTCAAAAAACTCTACCTTATTTCTTTCTAATTAATCATATGAAATCTTTAATTATTTATCAAAGAAAATAAAAGATGATAATAACTAGAACTTTTAATAGTATAGAAAAAAAATTCTATATGTTAAAGGAAAACTAACGTACTTTATATTAATTGAAGTTGTCAAAAGTATATTATATGAATAAAATTCACTAAGAATGAAAAATGCTTTAAATAATTCCAAGAATCGGCATTCCTTCTTTTTAATTATATCGTTATAGAATATGTTCCTGGAATATACAGATTTCTGCAATTAATTTTTCTAAGCTACTTTTATTTTATAAAAAATCTTAACGTAAACTAATCCTTATGATGCGACTTTACTTTTTTTTATGAACGCAAATAAGGAGTTTTTTTTATAAAAAAAAATATTTAATGTTGGTAAATTTCCTTCCGTCTTAAAGTGATAATATATTTAAATATTGTTGAAAGGTATTTATCATGAATTGGTTAGTATTACACTAAACCATGTTTTGAGAAACGAAACTAATTATTTTTCTAGTATAGAAAGTAATACGATCGTTTTTTTGAAATGAAAATGATTCGGAGACTTTCTTTCTCTCATTTATCACTCTATAAAATATTATATCTTATACTATTTATATATATATAAGTATCTTACTTCTTTTTTTCACTTTTTAATAATAGAACAGATGAGAGAAATGCGTAGATTTAGTCAGCTATTATTAGCTTTTTCTTTGCATTGTGTTTCACTACTTCAACAAAAGAAAAACTTGAAATAAATCGATATACATTTATAGTATAACACATTAAAATAGATTCACATTTAAATAAATTGATGAAGCAACAAAAAATATCCTTTCAAGCGTTTTCACATATCTATTTAAATAAGTGCATCAAATAAAAAAAAATTATGTACCAAGAAATAAAATAAACAATGAATTTAAAATATTTTTCTTTATTATTTGATCGTTTTTCAATAAAACTAATTCTATATTGAATAGATTTGTACATAAAAAAAGGTGTTGTATTCAATTATTCTTACCATATTTGAATGAAGTGTAATAATTTAGTCATTATCACTTTAGAATGTATTGTAATTCATTCGATAATTATAAAATAATGACTATTGTTTTTCCATTATTTAATATTAATTTTATTACCTTGATTATTTATAACAAAAACAAAATAATGGATAAGGCTGACTGATTATTGTATATTATCTTTAGAAAATTAGATTATCAAAAGAATAGCTATGCATCAAGTCTAGAATTAAGAAAATTTTCTGTAATGTAATTGAATAAATGACATTTGTGGTTCAATATCAATAAGTTTAGCAAGAATTCGAAAACAACTACAAACATTCCAAAACCCAGATCCAATTTGATTTAATTCATTTTTAATTATATTTTGTATAAGATTTGAATCTTGATATAATATTGATGATGACATTATACAAAATAAATTTAACAAATAACTTTTCTTGTATTAACAAAAAAAACGAAGAAGAAATTAATTCATGTTAATCTTTGTTTGAATCAACATAAAATTACATACGTAATCAGTCTATTTATCGAATGACTTTATGAATAAGTATGATTTAGCTATTTCATATATCACATAAAAATGATGCTGGATAATAAAATATTACTTGTCTAATATTAGTATCTTATTTTTTATGAAGAAAAAAAAATATCAAATGAAATAAAGATACTAATTTTCCTATGAACTATATGTTCAATTGAACCATAATAATCAAAAACGATTTTCAGCATAAATTGAAAATAAATCTACTGTCTTTAATCGATGTGAAAATTGATTTAAATGTAATGTGTTTCCAATTAATAAACTGTTTCTTTATAAACAAAAATATATTTATTTGCAACATAAATAACTTTTATACAAATGATTTATGATATAGTTATTCTACCATCACTCAATGGTAATATTTTTATTTTTTCGTCTACTTCTACTTCTTTTAATGTTGATTCATCATCAGTAGGAGCAACAGCTATGCGATATATAGTTTCATCTTTTGCTTGAAGCATTTGAGCAATATTTCTAGAAAATATGTATATGAGAAGATATTTGTATTATTTTTATATTAAATAAAATAAATCTTTTGACTTGAATTTTCCATTCTCTGTTAGATCTTTAAACCAACCTAAATTATCGGCAATTAAATGAAGATTTGTACATGAATCACATCGAATAATTACAACTCCTTTTTCATATGATTGACGAGTGAAAGTTTTTTGTAAATGTATGGTTACATACTATACAACGAAATTGAATTCCCATTCGTTTAGATTCTTCTCCTTGATTTATATTAGCTAAAGGAATTCGAGATTGTTGAATATTATTATTGGATTGTGATGAAATATTATGCAGAAAATACGATAATGATCAGTAATAACTTTCGAAGGACGAATTGTTATTCTATTAGTTGATTCAAGACGTGTTAATGTAAGACGAAACATGTATTTAAATTGTGTTGGATACTGAAATGTTGAAATAGAATAAAGTAGCTTTACAAACTCATATTGATGCGACTATGATATCCGTGCAATGAAGTATTTCATTGATTTTATACATTAAAACGAATCAAATTAGTGTTATTATGGATGGCGCGATTGTTCATTTATTATAACAATATAATCTAGAATGGAAAAAACTTTTAAAATGAGAATCTACTAGGCAAAATCTAAGTTGCAAAAATATATAAATCATAAGAAATATAGAAAGCTAAAATGGATATCTGGTAGATGTTTTATTAAGACAATAATACTATTCTTCCTTTGTTTTAGAATACAATAATGAAGATTCATAGATGTAAATAATATTGAGAAAATTTCGAATAAAAATCAAAGATAAGCTCTTAATCAGTTAGAGATGTTATATAATATAATTATTAATGAACTCCGCAAAATAGAATTCGAAACGTTAATAATTGATTTTAAAGTTTTGTATTTTTATATTTCAATGAATTTATATCTTCATAATTATTCATGTATAAATAGTTATAGTATGAATATCATCTTAGAATCTTCCATGATATTATATTGAATAGACTGTTATTAAATATTTAGCTTAATGTATGATGGTCATAATAAGATCATTTTTCTGAGTTATTGATGCAATTTAAAATACAACTATATATCAAAATAACTTATTAATAGAAAATTTTAATAGTACGTTGTACGCTTTTTGTAAGAAAAAATAATTTATTCTTCGATAATTACTTTGATATACTTATAAAATATTGATTTTATCAGGTGATATTATTATTTCATTTATTACATTTGCATGTTCTTAAACACAAAGATTACTTCACTTGAATTCTTGTGCACTATTATTCTTTGGTTCTTCAATAACTTTAATCTTATATCAATAATAGCTCGTCTGAAATGATTGTATAAAACTAATCATCATCTTTTGGTGGTGCTTTTTATTCAAGTTATTCTTCTTGCTTTATTAGTTATTGTATTATCTACTGGAAAATTTTATTCAATATTTACACTAAATAATGATAAATCGAGTATTCCTATAGCGACTGAAAATATGATTTACAATTTTGTTCTTCTTCTTATTTATTTAGCAAATGGAATTTCATTTTATGCATATACTCGTAGTGCTGGACATGCTTTTTGACAAAGTTAATTGATACAGAAAGTAATATGACGATATAACAATTTAAAAAAGCTAGAAATGATCTTGACATGAACATGTTCCATTAGTGGAAAAATGATGAATACAGTTGGCATCACGAACCACAATCTTTACTTGGCGAATTTTAGCAATTAATTTTGTAGCTTGATCTAAACAAAAGCAAATTTATAGATAAATAAAAATTATAGAAAAAAGTCGTGTAACTTACGACAATCACCACAAACGCGAAGATTTTCTGTAATTTGAATAAATGATGGTTTTCTTCCTTGAATAAAATGAAAGGCAATTGCAAGTCTTTCGCTATGAGAACACAAAACAGATTGAATTGTTTCAGTTTCTGCTAATGGACGCGTGATCCAACTTGAATCAGATTTATGCCCATGTTCAGTAAGTCCACATGATATACGTTCAGCTTCAGCATAAATTTCTTTTGATAGACAATGAGATTGATCATGAGCTGTAAATTGCTAAAATAAATAAATAAATAATTTTTTTTTAGAGAAATCTCTTACTGCTATTTCACCATCCTTTTCAGTCCATGCTAAGCCAGGTTGAACCTTTTTTCCTACTTCTTTAATTCGATTTAATCGAATACTTTGTGCTTCTTCATGTTGTCCTAATGAAGAATAAATATTGGATAAAAGAATTGAACCTGATATTAAAGTATCTTTTTCATTTTGAAATAATAATTTCATTCTTTCATAGATTTTTTCTGATACAATAGAATTACGAGAATTACGTGCACCAGATAATATAGCCGCTAAAATCAAAAATAAAAGAAATTTAATTTAATATGAAATACGAAAAACTTACTATACATAGCTGAATAAGGTGGATTAGACTTTTCATAATCTTCGATTAATTTTTGTGCTTCATCAAATAAAAACAGACGACTTAAACAATCAATCTAAATTATAAAAAAATGTTGATATTTAACATAAAAGAATTAAATAATCAAACCATTGTAGTAATAATTTTTGCTGTTTTATGATGAATCTCATTGAAGATTGAATAAGCTTCATCAAGAAGACCCGAATGAGAACATGCATTCAATACACAAATATATAAAATTTCATCATGTAAACTATTAGATATTTTTCGATATAAATCAGTAGCTTCTAAACCCATTCGATTAAGCCCAAACGCATTAACTTAAAAAAAACATATTTGAAAAAATAAAAATATAACAAAGTCAATTCACTCATGGAAGTATATGTTATAATATCAGGTGTATCAATTGATTCAAAAATCTCTTGAGCATTTTTAATTGAACCAGCTTTTCCCTATTACAAAAACATGAATGAATAAAATTAATCATTCAGAAAATTTTCATAATCAATTCATATCAAGGGGAAAATCAAGATTCGGGTGGTGCATATTCCCATAGTCTCGCTTTTTCCCTCATTGATTCTGCTCACTCTCTACTGTACTCGATCGTACTTGGCCCATTCATCAGCTGTACTCCGAAGTATTGGAGTCTCCCTTTTCCTCCCTTGATCCATACCCACATATCAATTAACGAATTGCATATCCATCGATTTTTATATAAATCTAAAGGAATTTGAGCAACAACTGATTGACATATTGAAAGCATACCAATTCGTGCACAAGCACCAATTATCATGATTAATACAGTTACATCAACATTTATATCACTTTCTTTCATTTCTTCAAATAGTTCTAAACTTTTTAATGGTTCATTATTTATATTATATCCATGTATCATAGTTCCATAACTAATACTATCCTTTTTTTCGATCATTTTAAACAGATCTTCAGCACGTTGAACATCACCAAATCTCATTAACATATCTATTGCTGAATTATAAATATAATTATTCTGTATAAATTTCTTAGGCATTTCATCGAGAAGTTTTTTTCCAATTTGTGTTGCTCGATCATTACAAAGTTGAGCACATGCATTGAAAATAATTGTATAAATGACATCATTAATACCTAAAGGTATTTGTTCAAATAAATCTAATACTTTTTCATTCATGTTATTTTCGCCATATCCTAAATAAAGTTTGTTTGATTATTCATATATTTTAAGTATAAAAATACCTTTCATCATAGCACCATAGGTGATAATATCTTTTTTCTTAATTATTTTAAACAGACCTTCAGCATTTTTAACATCACCAAATTTCATCAACATATCAATTGCTGCATTATTAATATTATTATCTTTTTCATAATTATTAGGCATTTCATCGAGAAGTTTTCTTCCAATTTTTATTGCTCGATCATTATGAAGTTGCGCACATGCATTGAAAATAATCGTATGAATTACACCATCAAGATTTAA